TCCATGCCTTAAGTGAGATTCGAACCCAAGATCCCAGTGCTTGAGTGGACGAAGACATTTCTGCCTTAGACCGCGCGGCCACTGTGATAGACCTGAGTAATAGAAGCCTACTCAAAATGAAATAGGTCTACCTTGGATATAAGACACCTGACCACCTGAAAGAAGAACAAATATTGCGCAGGTCTTGTGCCTATATACAATTGGCTGAACGGAGTAAATAAGGAAGCTCTGAAAATGAGACGCGAAGAAACTTTCTATGTATTGTGACTAGGCCTATGTAGTGAAACGGCTAAGAGAAGTTTATGTCTTGGAACTGGTTAAAAGGAACAGAAGCTGCACGTGTGACATTTCCTAGGGCACTGCTAAGAGTAACTTCTATTTTTTCATTGGCGCTACAGCCCTCATTCGGGCCTAGGCCTACTACCTCCATGAAACTCTCCGTTGCACCTCGGTCTACTAGATCTTAGACATACGGTAGGACTCCTTGGGCGGGTGATCAGCTCGTCGCAAGGCCTCTATCTGCACACAAACATCCATGCCTTGAGTGGTATTCGAACCCACGATCCCGGCTTCCGAGCGAGCGAACACAGTGCATGCCTTAGACCGCTCAGCTACCGAGACCGGCAAGAGTAACTTTTGCAGACAGAATATCACATGAAAAATAATAAAAAAATGAAAATAAATATGAATTAAATTAGAAACATGTAAACAGGATTCAAGAAAGTAACTACGAAAATTACTTACGACAATGACCCTATAGAAAACGACCCGTCCAAAAATTTTTCTATTGTTGCGCGTGCATTCGTTGCCGTGGGAAAGTGTTTACCGAGCCGTTGTCTAGCAACGGTAAGGGGGACACATGCAAACAAAGAAGGAAGACAGGCTGACAACAGAAGAGCTGTTGGAGGTGGTGCTTTCTCTGCGGTCCGGCTTTCAGGAGTTCGGGAGGTGATAGGCAGGCACACAGACAGAAATGTAATTTTGTGGTGCGGTCTGAAGGTTCAAAGGGCAGCCACAGAGTAAAATATGGTCGTGAGTCCCGTGGGTCTCGGAACTAAAATCACTGTACAGGCGAGGGCCAGAAGTAATTCAGTCAGTCAGAATTTCATACGCCTCCTTTTATTTTATCAAAGTATTTAAAGTAGGCTATTATTGTAATTTTCGTGGGATATCACTGCTACCAACTTCATACAAAAATTTATCCAACATCCTTCCCTTAAGAGGAAGTCCATATAGATGAAATTATTGGGGATCATCAGTGTGGACTTCGACATAACAGATCAAGTACTGATCACATTCTTTGCATTCGTCAAATACGAGAGGAAAAAATGGGAGTACACTGGGACAGTACATGAGCTATTAATAGATTTCAAGAAAGCCTATGATTCAGTTAGGAGGGAAGTATTGTACAAAATTCTCATAGAGTTTGGGATACCCATGAAACTTGTTAGGCTGATTATAATGTGTTTGATTGAAAAGTATGGCAAAGTCCGTATAGGTAAATATTTGCCTGATAATTTTCCTATCCAAAGTGGTCTAAAACAAGGAGATGCTTTATCGCCACTGCTTTTCAACTTTGCTTTAGAATATGCCATTAGGAAGGTCCAGGAAAACCAGGTGGGACTGAAATTAAACGGGACACATCAGCTGTTGATCTATGTTGATGATGTGAATCTACTGGGTGATAATATAGATATCATAAAAAATCACATAAACTTAATTGACTCTAGTAAGGGGACTGTTTTAGAAGTAAACACGAAGAAAACTAAGTATGTTGCTGTCTCGTCACCAAAGTGCAGGGGAAAATCATGACATAACGATAGAAACAGAAGCTTGGAAAATGTGGCAAAGTTCAGATATTTGGGAACTGCAATAATAACTTAAAATTTGATTCAGGAGGAAATTAAGAGGAAATCGAATTTGGGTAATGCTTGCTAGTATTCAGTCTAAAACCTTCTGTCCTCGCGTCTGCTGCCTAGGAACATAAAAATTAGAATATATTAACTATAATTTTGCCTGTGGTTCTGTATGGGTGAGAAACTTGGTCTCTGACATTAAGGGAGGAACACAGACTGAGGGGGTTTGAGAAAAGAGTGCCGAGAAGAATCTATGGACCGAAGAGGGATGAAGAGAGAGGAAGTTGGAGAAAACTGCATAATGAGGAGCTTCATAATGTGTACTCTTCTCAAAGTACAATTAGAATAATTATGTCAAGGAAGATGAGGAGGTCAGGACATGTAGCATGAATTGAGGAGAAAATGCATATAGGATATCGGTGGGAAAGTCGGAAGGAAAGAGACCACTAAAAAGACCGAGACGTAGGTGGGTGAACAATAATAAAATGGAACTTAGATAAAATGGGGTGGTACGGAATGGGTTTATCTGGCTCAGGATAAGGACCAGTGGATGGCTCTTGTGAACACGGTAATGAAGCTTCTGGTTCCATAGAACCTTGGGAAGTTCTTGAGTATCTGGATAATTAGCGGCCTCTCGAGAAGGACTGATCTTCTTAGTTAGTTAGTTAAGAAAAGTAGGCTAAGAAATTGAAAGCTGTTCGTTGGAAAAAAGCAAAGCTGCCAAAATTAATTTTGCTGTTACGTGCATGGATTCGATTCCCGAAGTCGATTGCAAGGCCAATTCGGAAACCTTGTAAACATCGGAAGTGGTTTGAAGCAATGAATCCTTGGGTTGTAAGGACGAGAACTGAAACAATAGGCGTTTTTATTAATGCATTTTTAAAATATTTTTCTACCTTTTTTATTTTTCTTATTTTGGGGGGGGGGGGGATTTCTTCGTGTTTGTGTGAGTGAAACGTGTGTCCTTACCCTCAAGGAAAATCGTAATATGTTGAGGGTATCCGAGATGAAATGCAGAGAACAGGCTTGTCGGTTAACACCACATATACACGGCGCCAAATCCCAGAAGACTGCTTTCTTCATAGTCACCGCCGTGAAAGCCTCAAATCTTACATAGGCTTATTCTTACCTACGGAAACGTACAGCAACAGTAACTAGGACTAATTTTAACCAAAGTTTAGAAAAATTAATTTAAAAAAGCAAATATAATGCAACAACTGCGTAAAATTATCTACTTGGTGATGATCTTATAATGTCAAAACATGCCATAGAAGTAACATTTTTATAAAAAATAAAACGTATGAACGTAGCACACCAACGACAAGCAGTTGCACTTCCAAAAGTGCCCCTGCAAATTACGTTAACCAGTGCGACAGGATGCTGATGTATAACATCAAGAAATAGTCACATTTTTCAAAACATCTTCACGAAATGAAATTCCGGATATTGTACTAGAGGTACTTTAAAAAAAAATACGATTAGAACATGTGGAACAGCGGTGCGCCCGAAGCATTCTCAGTAAACAAGTTTTGGGTCCACAAAGGAACAACTGCTACAGGGGAGACAGAGACAGAAAGTAGACTCTCGCGATAACAAACAGGGGGCTCCTGTAATAATACCTCTTCCCCTCACCACGTTTACTTCCCTCTTCTCTACACTCCAAGGGGCCGCGGCAGCCGAGTTTTATGGTTGCAACCCTCCCTACTCGATGCCTTTCTAGGACTAGGCAGGCAGGCAGACGACACAGCAAGGGCTGCCAACTTCACGTAGCTGTCCCCATTCACAATGCATTCACAGAACAACCAAATAACGGTATGTAACCTTCAAGAAAAACAGTGAACTGAGACTTGAAGCATACCTTGTAGTGCAACGTAATGCTGCACTTTGCTGTTGTAAACCTGCACGGGAATAAGAAGAAGGGGCAGTCTACTTGAGCAGAGCTCGTTGGAATAATGTGTAGGCCTCTGTTCTTGTTCGTCATTCCCCTGAGGATGGACTCAAGGGGCCGAAACATTTATCGCCATACATCTAATTTGATCTGTTCTATTAAATTTGTTAAACTGAATGGCTTATTACTCTGATAATTAACCACAAGTTAACGTACTAAAAATAAGCAATAGAAGGATTCTGTCTGCACTATACTGGCCACATGTTACGTCGCCGTGCATTCAGTATACTGAACTTCTGAGGAAATGTGTCATGGATTCATAGACAGACAAACTTGGGAACACATGGATAGTAAACATTATTATTATTATTATTATGGGCAGTGACATGTCTATATTTAATTGCAGGATGTGTTTCAAAAAGTTAATTAACAAATAAATCGATCGATCAATCATTTCTGTGCATTAAATTTCGTCCCTTGATCTCTTTATGACACCGTTTGAACTAGCGTGGATTCAGTTATATATATTCAACTAGAAACCGGACAGTCGTAATGTAGACTGATTGTAGTTTACAATGAGACGTTTTCACATATTTAAATCTATTAGTTACTTTTATGTTCGTTAGCGCGAGAGCGTGTGTCTAACCGATAATTCAACGGAGTTCAGTTGATGGTGCTGCCAACTTGAAAACTTAAAAGCCACTGAATACAAAAAAAAATAAGATTACATATAATATCCACACATAAAAGCACATATACACGTCGAATGCAAGAACATATTAAAAACTGCTAATGATATGTGCTGTAACTGTACTGTATTCCAGGCATTATAAATGTTTGAAAAAGGTGTCAAAAAAAGTCAAGTTTGTATGACAATAATAATAATAATTAATAATAAATAACAATTGATGATTAAATGTGCATAAACACAAAATTAATAAGGTAGTTTGATATAAAGACACTATATATTTCTTCAGAACTTACATTTTCCTGACTCCAATACTAAGCCTTTGTCAGAAAAAAAAATAATGATTTTTTTATATAAGATTTAACATACATTTACCAAACTTCCTTCATTGAAATGTAACCCATTTTTATTCACGCATATACCCCCCCTTCCCATCTTTTTTTTTTATGCAGCCTTTTCCTGTACAACGCCAACTTCAATATGGCCTAAGGGGGGCTGCATTTGAGACAGGATATCACTACTAGCCTGCCTCATCACTATCCCAAGCATAAATATTACATCAACTTACGTGCAGTGAGTGTTATCCAGTGTAAAAGCAATCCAGCAGATTGGCAGCGACACGGTGGCACCAGCAGTTAACAAACAGTGCTGTAATTACATAGCATTTTCACTCCTTTCACCAGCACACTACTGCACTTAGGCACTTCCAGGCGCACATAAAACAAAGCACACTACACCATGAAAGTATTCCACACAATTATACAAACAAAACACATCCAGGTCAGAAAACGGTAACACAACGCATCAAATTCACACACATCACCAACACAGTCACCAACTCTCTACTGAGACCAACTCCACTTCAACTATGCTCTTTTCTTCTTTCAGAGAGAGAAAACAGCCGACATCCCTTCCCCTCCGACTTCCCCCTACTATGTACTTTGTGCCCTCTTTTAACCGCACGCCAGCCAATGAGAAACCTTGATGTCACGCTTCGAGTTTCACATTCGGTCTGTATTCTAAGTGGAGGGGATAGAGTAATTGTGGGGGAAGGCAGAGTCCAGGTGCAATTTCATCTTAGCAATCAACTGTATTGATGAATGCATCTGCAGCCTAGGTTAGGCAACAACGGAAGCACATGCCCCACCACACCGCTCTGAACACATTGATAATGCAGTGGAGTTCCAAGCCATCTACGCGATACTTTACGAGCCCTCAGGCCTGATCGGATTAAATTAAGCGTCTTGCGTATTTGAACACTTTAGGATGTGAGAATACTGAAAATGTGAGGATACTGTAATTTTTTATTGTGCTTTACTCTACGAAGCTGTCAGTGTCTAAGCTATCTGACTTCGAATTGTAGGTGAATTCGGAACGATTTGGAAAACAGCAATTCTATCCTGAGGAAAACCACGAAACTTCTCGGTCGGGAAGGCGGTTACCAACCTGTTCGGTACTATGATGTAAATCATAAAATACACGTAATTGCATCAAGGGATGAGATGAAAAGTTCAAAAGAAATATAAAAAATAAGGAAGTTTTCTAAGGAAGTGAAAAATGAATTGTACTATCTTTTGGGATATAAGGCCATGGAATTCCTTGAAAGTCAACTGACGTTTCGGAAGAAAACATCGCTTCCATCTTCATGGTCGAATAATCCAAGTAAGATTTTACGCTGGTATCTTTCTCGGCTTATTCGACCCCTAAATATGGAGACCATACGTTCCTTCGAAACGTCATTTCAATTCCAGTGGACTGCATGTCGTTATGCCGGTCACGGTAGCCGAGCGGTCTAAGGCATGTAGTGTCTTCACTCGCTTGGAAACCGGAATCGTGGGTTTGAATCCCACTCAGGGCATTGATGTTTAGTTTGTGTGTCTACAGGTAGAGGCCTTGCGACGAGCTGATCATCCGCCCAAGGAGTCCTACGGAAGGTGTAAGGTCTAGAAAAACCAAAGTGAACGGAGAAGTTCATGGAGGAAGGCCTAGGCCCACTGGGGCTGTAGTGCCAAGGGGGAAAAAATGTCGTTATATCCAAGGAGATGGTACTATTCACGTCCACCGCTGTGAGAACCTCGAATCATTCCAAGTACAACTTTTCAAAGGAAATTAAAAGTTTGGTAAAATCGAAACTCCCGAATCTAAATGTTTGATGTAGGCCAGTAAAAGTAAAGAACTATTAAAACCTACATAAAATTGAAAATGAAAACGTAAGCCTTCCGAAAGAATCAATATAGGCCTATAGAGATTCAACACGCAGAAAAAAATGTGGCTATGAAGACACATTTCAAAAGCTGTTTTGAACATGATTCAAATTCAGGTCCAGTATAAAGACACAGGAAGGTACTCTAAAAAATGTCTATGGAAGAGGAAGAAAAACTGAAGCTGATTCGTATAGCGTACAATATCCAAGATTTTGACTATTAATATCCCTTATACGCAGGCCTATTATAATAACTAAGTAGACCTATAACACAGATTATCATCTGGAGTTCAGCCTTAGTTCATATTCCCCGCTTTGCTGAGTGCTCTCGAGAGAGTAAAATAAATCCCTAGTCCGCAAGCGAACTATACCGACCGAGCGACCGCCGCCTGTCGGCGAAGTTAGTGCCAAATTTAGCTGATGGAGGGTGTCGCGTGGTCAGCGCAACGGATCCCCATGCCCGTTAATCTTAGCTTTCTAGACCGGAGCCGCTATTTCCTTGAAAAAGCTCCTCAGTTATCCTCACAAGGGTGAGGGGACTCCGTTCCAGACCCACTACTTCTCAGAAAATCTGGTAGCGTCTGGAATCGAAACCGGGAACTCTGGATCTGTAGCCAGGAACTCTGACCACTAGACCACAGAGGCGGTCTCGAAAGAGTAAAGGATCACTGAATTGTTTTTGGTGAAATGACAGCTGAGAGCCTGCACCTTGAATGGAACAAGCCTGTCTCACAAACTGCAGTTCAGCACTAACATCGAAATACCTGCTGGAGTTCAGATGTTTCACCGTCAGGCCCGCAACTCGAGAAAAGATGTTCTCCTTCCCGATACACCGCATTCCCGAAGTTCGTTTCTTATTATTTTTAGGAATAAGAACATGTCTTACTCAGATTTTAATACAAATGACGTGGGCTGTCAGTTTTCTTCAGCTGTTCCTTTAATTTTAAAGAAGATTTTGAACTCCTCCTAGGAGTCGATATAGCGACTGGCCACGAGCTGGGAGACGAAGGAGTCGGAATTCGAGTCCCGGTAGGGTCAAGAATTTTCACTTCTCTACGTCATCCAGACTGGCTCTGGAGCCCACCCAGCCTCCTATCCCATGGGTCCCGCGGAATCTTTCCCTGGGGGTGGAGGGCCAGGGCCTGAAGTTGACCACTCGCCTGCAACTAGGGCTGAGGTCAAGAAAATGTGGATCTATACATCCACTCCCCCGTACGCCTTCATGGTGTAGTGCTTAATTAGTTAAGCACAGGGACAACTTTAGACCACCTCTATGGTCTACTGGTCAGAGTTCCTGGCTACATTTTCAGAGGTCCCGGATTCGATTCTCGGCACTACTAGAGTTTCCGAGAAGTAATGGGTTTGGCACTAACTTCACCGACATACGGCTGTTGCTCGTTCGGTATAGTTCGCTTGCGGACTACAGGCCACGGATTTCGTTTGTTTCGGGAATAACTTTACCTTGAACTCTGCCAACATACTTACAGGGAAGCTTCTGGTCATTGCACCGTGTTGCATGCAAGCTGCCTTCACCATCAATGTCGACGTGTGCATGTATATGGTGTTTTGTGTTTATAAAAAGTTGTCTTTGATAAAAATGACGATTTTTAGTCTTCTTTCACCTTATTTGCGAAGATAAGAAGTTTTTCTGAACTTATGACGTAACAGGCTTACGCGCTCTGGATTCAAACACAAACATAGACGTAGGGTCTCTCTTAGTTAGCTTGTGAATAGTTTAACCCCATATGCCCCCCCCCCCTTGACACTACAGCCCCCGTGGGCCTAGGCCTTCTCCGTTCACTTCGGTTTTTCTAGATCTTACACATTCGGTAGGACTCCTTGGGCGGGTGATCAGCTCGTCGCAAGGCCTCTACCTGTACACAAACACAGAAAAACGCACACACTCAAAATAACATCCATGCCCTGAGTCGGATTCGAACCCACGATCTCGGTTTCCAAGTGAGTTAAGACAGTACATGCTACATGATAAATTAATAAAGGCAAATCCAAACATTCATATTCCAACCCAGTCTAAAACACTCTACCAGCCCCCACACCACTCCCCCCCCCAACACTTNCCCTATGCCCCTATTCCTTCCCCCACTTCCTGTGACAACATGCGATAAGCAGAAGTTGTACAGACCACTCAGCAAAGGATACCACATAAACTAGACGACACGACAGTAGCAGTTAGTAATTATAGAAATATTGTAACAATAAATTAGTTTTTGAAAAAAAACAATCGTAAATTATAATACGATATTATTTATTAATAAACATAAATTATTATAGCTCAACATCCTGGGAATACGAAAGAAGATAAATCTGTACTCAAGAAAGAGTTACCACAAATGAATCTGGCCAATAATAGAAGAATCAGCAGAAAAGACGTGTGGTCTACTACTGCAACAGGCACGTAGCTGAATACAGCTTACGGCGCTTTTAAATTAATTTTAAAAATTAGTAAAATCATTTTTTAATTTTCAGCCATTAGTTTCGCATATTAACGAGGAGGTACGTAACTTGTACGCTTCTTCTAGCATAATTAGAACGATCAGGTCAAGGAGGATGAGGTGGGCAGGTCATGTAACACGAATGGGGGAGACGAGGAATGCATATAAGATATTGGTGGGAAAGCCAAAAAGAAAGAGATCACTGGGAAGACCAAGGCGTAGGTGGGTGGACAATATTAGAATGGATCTTAGAGAGATAGGATGTAATGGTATGGATTGGGTAGATCTTCATGATAGTGACCAGTGGAGAGCTCTTATGAACACGGTAATGAACCTTCGGGTTCCATAAAATGCTGGGAAATTCTTGAGTAGCTGCAGAATTGGCGGCTCCTCCAGGAGAGCTCAGCTCCATGAGTGAGTAAGCGAGTAAGAAATTTATAGGCTTATTATCTTGCGTTAGATCTACCTTCAAATTAGTTCGAGTTTGATTTCGAAACATAAGGAAAATACAAGGTAAGTTGTCACTCCATGAATTCTTTACTTTCCCCTCAAAACAAGACAAAGAGACAAATGAGAGTTCGTATGAACAGAGCTCAACATTTTAAGGCAAATAGATTGTTACAATGTAGGCCTAACTTATTTTCCCGATGAAGTGATTTTATCTTTTCAATTGACTTAATCCTTCCAGCCGAACTGTGGCCCTGGTTTCGACTCAGCCTCTAACAGAAATGAGTACCAGGAATCTTCTTGGTGGGCTAAAAGGCGGCCGGCGAGTAAGGCTGATATCTTCTCTATCTGTGAGCCGCTTGTCTAGAGAAAATTTGGGAGCCTCTACGTATCACAACCCTATGGGCCTTCAAGGCCTCTAAGAGGGAAAGGTTTACCTTTTTTACATCTAATGTATTATGTTTTAAATTTGTAGTATGGCCAGTCTATTCAATGAATTCCACAATTTGCAACATTTACTTCTGATTGCGTATTTTTTATGGGGC